GCATTCTTCTAGCCATTCTTAACTAGGCACTAAGTTTAGTTTCACAAACCATACTGGGAAAAGCAAGTAGTGTAACCATAAGTGTCATTGTGAATAACTAAAGAAACGGTTGGTATTCTGTTCTGTAAAGATTTAAATATGCAACAATGGTGCTTTAAAATCACTTCAAAGGCCCCCTCTAATTTGCTTACTTTATCCAATGTGCTAAATGGTATTTAAACTAAAAATAATCTTTATTTTTAATTCACATTTTTATCACCTCTCACAATATTGTTTCTAGGCAGCATAAAAAAAAAAACTTAATTGTACAAGACATTATCAAAGATGACTGTCAAAGTAATGTACTTGTAGCAAAAATATAGGTTACAGTTGCATATGGCAGTTAACCCATGTAATTCCAATTTCTTTTCCCTGAGATAACATGTATGAATACATAAGGATATTAAACAATCTTTAACAATTACGTCAAAAATATATCTCAAAATCCATACAAAAAACTTGATTATTCGTCAGGTCACAATTGTGACCATTAGTAGAACAAAGGGAGGCTAGGTATATGGTGTTAATGGATTTATAAACTGACAAACTTCTACAGTTTAAAGACCAGGTTCAATAATTGTTTTAAGCTTTAGTTAATAGTGTTGTATTACATCAAAGACACACCATGCAAAATTTCCATTTGTCAAACAGTGACCCCTAGAGTTGCTGTGGAGTACTTGTATTTTTTCTGAATATTAACTTAATGAACTAATATCTAATATGCCCATGACAATTTAGAAACTGAAAATAGAACATAAAAATATGTATTAGATCTAATATAACAAAATTACAAGATTATAAAATGCATTGCGTGAATTCTTGTTTAAAGAGAAGTGTTTAATCTACAATTAAACTAGGAATGTTTGACAGAATAGTGAATATTATCAGGAAACCTGCTCCAGACTTTAGGACCCACATGCAAAAACAAAACATTCTCTCCTTTAGTGCAGTTCAATATCCTAAGTAGTACCAAAAGTCCAGAATTGTAAGATTCTTACAAGAACCTGTTAATCTTAATGTTGTAAAATAATATTTTATTGATCTATATACTGCATCTTGGACTAACTTTATTTGTTAAAGGTGCAGGACAACCACCTAACAGTGAATCACAATAATATCAACTAAACTCATTAAACGTAACATGCTGTCCATTTAAATACTAAATCTTCATTTTGAGTTATTTCTCATTTGAACTATGGAACTTCTACATCTATGGAAACACATGACTTCCCAGGGGCTCAATGAGTGACAGGCATATGACCCAGAGATTGTGGGTTCAAGTCCTTTGTCTTACAACTTTATAAAGTTGTGTCATTTCAATTTCTTTATCATACTGAAAAGCATTGTACTATTCTTTCTTCCTATTAAATACAACGTGTGTTTCATTTATATGCAAAGTCTTTATTTTGAGTCCATTCTCTTTTTTACTACTGAACCTCGGCAGCTGGATGATCTCATTTCTTTTGTGAGGTAAGAAGTTAATGAGTAAGAATACTTTGGTTATTAAAGTTTCTTTTAAAGTTTGGAAAGCAAAGTATTTTTAAGTACTTTTTGAACCCATGGAACCATTGAAGGCTTGGCCCCGTAAGGCTGCTTGCAGCTTTAATTAGGGGCCAAGCACCGAAGGTGCAGAGGCACCTATTGTATCTGTTAGTTTTCTTATTATTATTATTCCGTGAATGGGAGTCTATGGCAGCCCTATGAACAGTAAGTAGGAAAATGATGAAATTTGGCACACTTGTAGTGATGCTAATGAATAGTAATTGGACCAATTTTTGACCCTCTAGGACCAACTCTATAGCGCCACCACCAGTTCATAAATTCAACATTGAAATGGTTATAACTTTTAAACCCTTTGATCTAGAGACATCAAACTTGGTACACCTGATTCCACTCATCATGCTGATCACAACCAATACCTTACATTAAGACCCCGCCCATTACAGTAGTGGCCATTTTGAAATGTACAGTATTCCGTTTTTTCGCTACTCCTCCATCAAATTTTGTCCAATTTTCTCCAAACATGGGCTCAAATGATCGTCAGACTGAGCCGCATAAAAGTACTGTTCCCGACTTTTTTTACTCATCTTTGTTCAAAAGTTATGGTGTCGCAAACTTAACGAGGTCCACCCAAAATTGGCTAAGAGGCTGTATCTCGGCCAAAGTTTGATCAATTGAAATGAAAATTGGTACACTTCATCGGAAGCATGTTCTGAGGTCCCAGGCCAAAGTTGGGAATGGCGCCACCTACGGGTCATGAGATATGACAAATTGCTATTTTGGCCAATAACTTTTGAACAGTTTGTCAGAAATTCATAATTGTGGTATCTATGGATTCCTTGCATCATGCCGAATCCGTGGATATCGATTTTGCCATGATGGGATGTACCACGTGTCCGCCATTTTGAATTTTGTCATTATTTGCAATATCTTTTAAACTATTTGAAATTTCCTCACCACATTTGGTATGGATCATCATTAGCATGCCCCGAAGGTACATTAGAAGTTTGATCACAGCGCCACCTAGTGTTCCAGAGATGTCATTGTTTTTTTTAAAAACGCTTATAACTTTTGCTATCATTGCTTGAAATTTGATTTCTTTATGTCAATATATTCCTTGGCTTATGCCGATTTCAACGATATCTCATATGCTATTTTCCAACAATGTGACTGGCCGCCATATTGGAGCGAATGTAAAACAGTTTTTTCGCTACTCCTCCTTCAAAATTTGTCCAAAATTGTCCAAAATTTGCTCAAATGATCTTCGGACCGAGCCGCACAGAAGTACTGTTCCCGATTTTTTTGCTATACTGGAAAAAAAAAAGTTATGATGTCGCAAATTTAACAAGGTCGACCCAACATTGGTTCAGAGGCTGTAACTTGTGAACAGTTTGTCACAAAATCATAAAATTGGTGTCTATCGATTCCTTTCATCATGTCAAATCCGATGATATCTATTTTGCCAGGATTGGATGTACCACGTAATAAGCTAAATTAGCATTAAGATAGCTTAGCATGCTTATGGAACTTTTTTTGTGAACTCATTCTCACACTGAACCCTCTCCTCTGCTGCATTGAAATTCACGTCCTCTGAGTGGCGCAATCGGCTAAACCATGTGTTACAAATCCCGAGCCGTTCCGATTGTGGGTTCGAACCCCGTGTTGGATGAGTATAAAAATTGTGTTGATTCCTGCATTGTTCTAATCTATTGCGCTGCAGCAGCTTGTTTTCATTTCATCCATAAGTACTTCTGAACCTATCTCTTCTTCATGTACATTCTATTTCTGCTCTTTTTTCTCTTCTGGCTCCACATTAGCTAACCATAAGTTACATTAGCATTAAGAGATCTTAGCATGGTTAACTGGTTGAGATGCCAAGTAATTCTTTTGTGTGATTATTGTGTGCTCATTCTTACACTGAAGCATATCCTCTGCAGCTTAAGCGTAAGCTTAACCATGTGCCATGAGCCAAAACCATTGTGTTACAGACATAGTGTCTTTCTGAAAAGTAATCATTAGAATATGATGTGGCACATTCATATAAAGATTCATGCTTGACTTGATTAATGGAACTTTGGCATCTTGGTAAAAAACATATAAAAAAAAAAACAATTTTCCCCAATGGTCCTACTAGATGAGTAACAGTCACATCACCCAGAGATTGTGAGTTAGAGTCCTGTCCAACTTTATAAAATTGTTCCTTTATTATCCAGGTAAGCATTGTTTTAATCTTTCTTTTGGTTTTAGACACATTGTTCATTCTTTCATTCTCGAGTATCCAGAAAGTTTTGTGAAAAAAAGGATTGCTATAGCGGTCCTTGACAATCTACTATTCTTGCAATGTAAGCGGTTTTCTTCATATTAATACTTTTTGCCTTTGTGTGTTCATGGTCATGTCAATTTCCTTTTGTGTATTGTGTGTAGTGAGCTAGAGAGTAGAAGGGTGTGATTGGATGTTTGTCATGGTCTAAGTAAACTTAATTTTTTTTAATTAGGCTGGCTTTTATAAATTTCAAGTTAACTACATAAAGCTTTAAACCAAACAAATGCATATATAATAGTTTAACTTTGCTCACTGACAATACTTAAAGTTAAAACATTCAAGTTTGACAACATTTTAACTGTTGTCCTGAAGACAGTCACTTACTAATTTTAATATTTCAAAATAAAAACAACTGTTAAAAAATTATAGCTTACTACAAATTAAATGAAAATTATGTAAATGCTCGATCCACTAAGCTGTTTTATGATGCACTTTTTGTAAAAGACACCAAGTTTGTAGAATCAATTCATATACTAAATATAGTGTCTACATCCATTTAATACAAGTAGAAAATCAAAGACATTAAAATGAAGTATATGGCTACAGAGACAAAGTATATTTCACTCAATTTATTTAAAAAAAAATCTTTATTACTTTATTTAACATGTTGTGCCTTAATACCCCAGTGAGCAAGCCAAAAAGGCGACAGTGGCAAGGAAAAACTCCCATAGATAGCAGTGTGGAACATCATGGACCAAGGGCTGGAGCATAATCAGCGTAGTGGCAAAGGAAGAAACCTTGAGAGGAACCAGACTCAGCAGGGGCAGGCCATCCTCTTTTGGCTGGCACATATTAAAGTAACTATACATAGGCCAAATGTAATACAAGCCATCCATTCAACATTGTTACTGTGGAGATTATGTATTCATTTGTAAAATAACAATTGACTATTGACTGCCTGCATAGGTTTAAAGTTTTTTCAGAACATTTTTTGAATTGATAGTTCAGAAGAATGTTGTTGTCACTATTTCTAGAAGGGGAAAAGAAATAAACCAAATCACAAAAATGATATGTTTTCAGTAACTAGTTTGAATATATGCATTATACATTACCTTTTTTAATCAGTTGTACACTTTAGAGAAGTTAATGCCGCATACAATCTTTTCATTGGTATATGTGAAGAAGTTTTGACTTCAGTGCATTTCAGATATCTGAAAATATTACATTCATTGAACAAAGTGCTATAAGTAAAGTCTTCACATTAAACATTTCACAACTAACATAGCCATGGTCTGTTACCTTTCTGTTTGTGGACATTTGTTTAGGGATATGTGGACTTCAAAATATCAACAGTAGTTATTGAGTTGCTGCACAAACCTGAAAGTGTACCATTAGATTAATCAGTGCATTTATAAATGTCCACAACTTAAATTTACTTTAATAAAACGTACTGTTTTATCAGTTGTGCGCTTCTTTATAAAAGTTCAGGAGCACAGAATCTTGTGATGGGTATATGGAGGAAATTATGACTTCGGTGAATTTCAGAAATCTGAAAATATTACATTCATTCAACAAAGTGCTATAAGTGAAATCTTAACATTAAACATTTCATAACTAACATGGACATGGTCTGTTAGCTTACCTTTTGTGGAAATTTGTATAGGGATATGTGGACTTCAAAATATCAACAGTAGTTAGCGTTGCTGCACAAATCTGAAAGTGTACCATTAGTAGATTAATCAGTGCTTGTATAAATGTCTACAACTTAATTTACTTCAATAAAACTTATGGTCTTAATAGTTGTGTGATTCTTTATAAAAGTTCATGGTGCAGATAATCTTGTGATGGATGTATGGAGGAAGTTAGGACTTTGGTGAATTTCAGAAATCTGAAAATATTACATTCATTCAACAAAGTGCTATAAGTGAAATCTTAACATTAAACATTTCATAACTAACTTGGACATGGTCATAACTAACATGGACATGGTCTGTTAGCTTACCTTTTGTGGACATTTGTTTAGGGATATATGGACTTCAAAATATCAATAGTAGTTATCGAGTTTCTGCACAAATCTGAAAGTGTACCATTAGATTAATCAGTGCATTTATAAATGTCCACAACTTAAATTTACTTTAATAATAAAACTTACCGTTTTATCAGTTGTGCGCTTCTTTATAAAAGTTCATGGAGCAGAGGATCTTGTGATGGGTATATGGAGGAAATTATGACTTTGTTGAATGAATGTAATATTTTCAGATTACTAAAATTCACCCAAGTGCTATAAGTGAAATCTTAACATTAAACATTTCATAACGAACATGGACATGGTCTGTTAGCTTACTTTTTGTGGACATTTGTATAGGGATATGTGGACTTCAAAATATCAACAGTAGTTAGAGTTTCTGCACAAATCTGAAAGTGTACCATTAGTAGATTAATCAGTGATTGGATAAATGTCCACAACTTAAATTTACTTCAATAAAACTTACTGTCTTAATAGTTGTGCGATTCTTTATAAAAGTTCATGGTGTAGATAATCTTGTGATGGATATATGGAGGAAGTTAGGACTTTGGTGAATTTCAGAAATCTAAAAAATATTACATTCATTCAACAAAGTGCTATAAGTGAAGTCTTCATATTAAACATTTCACAACTAACACAGACATGGTCTGTTAGCTTACCTTTTGTGGACATTTGTATAGGGATATGTGGACTTCAAAATATCAACAGTAGTTAGAGTTGCTGCACAAATCTGAAAATGTACCATTAGATTAATCAGTGTTTGTATAAATGTCCACAACTTAAATTTACTTCAATAAAACTTACTGTTTTATCAGTTGTGCGCTTCTTTATAAAAGTTCATGGAGCAGAGAATCTTGTGATGGGTATATGGAGGAAATTATGACTTCTGTGAATTTCAGAAATCTGAAAATATTACATCCATTCAACAAAGTGCTATAAGTGAAATCTTAACATTAAACATTTCATAACTAACATGGACATGGCCTGTTAGCTTACCTTTTATGGGCATTTGTATAGGGATATGTGGACTTCAAAATATCAACAGTAGTTAGCGTTGCTGCACAAATCTGAAAGTGTACCATTAGTAGATTAATCAGTGCTTGTATAAATGTCTACAACTTAATTTACTTCAATAAAACTTACGGTCTTAATAGTTGTGTGATTCTTTATAAAAGTTCATGGTGCAGATAATCTTGTGATGGATGTATGGAGGAAGTTAGGACTTTGGTGAATTTCAGAAATCTGAAAATATTACATTCATTCAACAAGTGCTATAAGTGAAGTCTTCACATTAAACATTTCACAACTAATATAGATATGGTCTGATAGCTTACCTTTTGTGGACATTTGTATAGGGATATGTGGACTTCAAAATATCAACAGTAGTTAGAGTTGCTGCACAAATCTGAAAGTGTACTATTAGTAGATTATCAGTGCTTGTATAAATGTCCACAACTTAAATTTACTTCAATAAAACTTACCATCTTAATAGTTGTGCGATTCTTTATAAAAGTTCATGGTGCAGATAATCTTGTGATGACATATGGAGGAAATTATAACTTCAGTTCATTCAGAAATCTGCAGAGATTACATACATATAACAAACTGCTTGATGAAAGTGAAGCAGTTTACACAAAAACATATTGCCATTAATGTAGATAATCTGTTAACTGAAATTGACATGCTTTCATTCAAGCTTTGCAGACATAGCTGATCAAAAAAGATATTATTTTTATTTTGTGTGCTTCTATAGAGGAGTTCATGGAGCAGAAAATCTTGTGATGGGTATATGGAGGAATTATGACTTCAGTGTTTCAGAAATCTAAAAAAAAAAATTTACTGACAAAAAGGTAAGATAACATACAGTTTATAAATCTGAAATTATATTGTTAGTTGATAGTGCCTTAAATATTTTCTTTTTAAACTATTAAAATGTACACAATCATGTCAACTTACCTTTCTATGTGAAGTTTTCTAGATCATTTTTAGATGTTTTCTTGTAATCCTATTAACTTAATTGCATTTTATAAGACAACTGTAGGAATGCAGGCAGTCTTTGTGGATGCTTCCTATGCTGATTGGAAGCATCCAGTGTTGTTTGGATGGCTTAGACTGGCAGAAATTAGATCAAAAACAAATTCAGCTAAAAAACAAAACCATTGTCTAAAATGAAGAAAAATCAAACACAAATTTAATGCATAAAAACTACAAAAACCTTGACTGGATGTAGCTTTGGAGCTCCAGAAAGAAGAGCAATTATGGGAGGTGCTGGTTTGTGCCCGATGAACAATGGATAGAACTTGGTATGGAATGGTCAGAACTGTATAGACCTTGGAATCTCAAGATGTGCGTCACATTGTACGAACAAAAACAGAATAGACAGTGTAATTATATACATTTCTTAGTTCAGCGTGCTGCATAAATCAGACATATTACCTTACATGAGTAAACCTTTCTTGATAGCATACTAGTGGACTTGCAGAAATTACAACAAATGAATCATTTTCTTATTGAAATGATTTGAAATAAATGGTCTAATAACATACCGTTTTCATTTGTGAACTTGAACAGACCTTCATGGACCTCAATCTCAGATTAATTGTAGCAGGGTAGGGGCACAGAAAAGAAAAATGCAGTTATACAGTCTTCATTATGTGTCAGAAATGTCAATTACCTTACTGAAACTAGTATTGCTTCATGGTAACTATAGTAAGTTGAAACAATTTCAATTGTAACATTTTCTGCATCTTTAATATAGACATGGTCTATTAACGTACCCTTTTCAGTTGTAGGACATTGCACATGTTGACTGTATCCATGGACTTCCATTAGTGTCCCAATTGAAGATGATGTTAAGATGTCCTCATTGAAGTCTCCCATAATTACTTTCTTTCCTGGATGTTTTTCCAGCTCAGTAATGACATGTAACAGATTTTGTCGAAACACATCAATTTGATATGAATTAGGCCTGTACAGCAGAGCAGCATTCAAACTGATATGTGGAACTGAGAAGTACAAACATTCCAAATTGCAAGGTTCTGGAATGATGACTTTAAAAAACATGTTTTCACAACAGTAGATAGCAACCCCACCTCCTCGCTGTTGTTTTAAATTACTGAAAAGGGGAGTGCTGTTGTCATAGCACTTAGCTCTTGGATTATGCTTGAAAATAAATCCTGGTATTTGTACTTGGTCTTCAACTTTTAGCCATGTTTCAGTTAAACAAATACAATCTGCATTCATAAGTTGTCTGTGAGCTTGAATATCTTGAACATGAGCTTGAAGACTTTGCACATTCTGAAGAGCAATTGTAAATATACCAGGTGTCTTTGAGAAAGTGTGACTTTCTAATGGAAATTTTGGTATATTTTTCATTGCCAAGTCAATTTGATCATTACAGTATATTACAGACTCCTTGAAGTTTTGAATAATTAGTCCATTGAGAGTTCTCACACGACTCAATGCAACATATGCTTGTCCTGAAGTAAAGATCTTGTCAAGGGATACGACAGCTTTATCTACTGTGAGCCCTTGGACTTTGTGAACAGTGCATGCCCATGCCAGTCTAAGTGGAAATTGGCGCCTTAATCCACCGTTGGTTGTGACTTGATCTTCTTGAACTTCAATTACTGTAGAATTTTGGGAAAATCTATGTCGTTGGTTTGATCTCTGAATTTTTCCCACATTTGGATCATCAAATTCCACATGAATGGCTGATGGAAAGTCATCATCATAATCATCGTCGTCCTGTTTTTGACTTCTGCTAATATGGACAACTGTACCAAAGGCTCCATTCACAAGTCCATCCGAAACATTAATATTTTTCTTTAACATAACTCTTGCTCCAACACCCAAGGAAACACATTTAGCCAAACAGGAGTTGAAAACGGTTAAATGAAATCCAACTTTTTTTTCTATCCTTCCAGTTTTTGGATTTCTCTCAAAGTCTTGAGCTCGAATACTGATTGCCTCAGGACAAACCTCATTTAGTCTCTGAATATTGTATTCATCAACCTCTTTATTTGTAGGAAATATATGAACATCACCGCATTCTTCTCCTGTTTCACGTTGCTTCAACATGTTGATGTCACCTGAGCTTAGAGGTTCATTCTTTTTACGAACTCTCAGACGATTTAAGGTTTCAGCAAAAGTTACATCTTGTTGCCGAACAACTTCAGTTAATTCAGCAATTTCAAAGTGGTTTTCCCAAAGGTTCACTCCTTTTGTATCAGCATAGAGTGGAGTTCCTTTGACAGGCGGCAGCTGATAAAAATCTCCTACAGCTACAAGACTTACTTTTCCAAAGAGGGAGTAATCACCAGTTTGTTTGATTTGTCTCAATCTCCCATGAACATATGACAAAAGGTGATGGTCAACCATGGATACTTCATCAATAATCAAAATCTGCAAACATCCAAGTTTGGAACGCAGAGAATTGATTTTGTCATCACTTAGTGGTTGATATGGCAGTTTGACATTAGCACCAATTGAAAAAGTGTGGTGTATGGTAGCAGCGCCAATGTTGTATGCAGCTACTCCAGTTGATGCACATAAAATCACACTCCGCTCATCAGGGTTGTCAGACAGCTGAGACAAGAGTCTAGAAGATTCATAGCATATTGCTTTGATTAAATGGCTTTTTCCTGTGCCTGCTCCACCAGTAACAAACAAGCGAAACGGTTCAGGATTTTCTCCATGCAGTTTTTGTAAACACCAGTCGCGAACTTTGTAAAATATTGCAGACTGTTTAGCATTTAATGATCTTAGTAAACCCAATGCTTCATCTCGAGACATTGCAGCATTACTGTTCTCAATTGTGAATGCAATTCGAGGGTTCGCTACAAGATCTGGAATAAGTGTGTCAGAATCATCTTCTTCAGGAAGTACGTTATTCTTCTTTAGCTCGATACATTCATGGCGCTCCTTCTCTGTTTCAGGACACAATGCAGCCCAAGCATCTTCCAAATCAACACCCAGCTCCAAAACCTGTTGAGCTCGGTCCATTTCATCGCTGTCCTTTTCAAACAGTGCTCGATTAGAATCAACAATAGATTTTACTTCAGTCACATTACTTCCGCATTTCACAGCACCATTGTTGTAGAAATCCTCATAAGTGTGGAACTTCTCAGGCTTCAGCTGGTAATCTTCATAATGTGGTAAAAAAAGTTGTAGCAGTGAATGATAGTACTTCTCAGGATCTTTTGTTGGTGAAAATCTTGGATACCTTATTACTGCAGGTTCAGTTCGAGTTCTTCTTATCATATAACCACAATTGTTGTCAAGCTTGATCACATTTTCTTTGTTTTGTGAAGATAGCTCAGATGTTGACAATATCCTGTATTCTGAACAAAAACTGCCCAGACACAGAATCTCAAAATGTTCTGTTTTTGGTCTACTCTTGTATCGGTCAACCAAACTATTCATCCAAAAATTCTCTTCACCACAATGGTCATCTTTGTTTTGGAGAACACGCAAAGGCAAACTCATCTTCACAGGATCAGTTCCAATTGGAATAAACTGGACTTTGCGAGAGCATTCTTTCAAGTGCATACCTGTTAGGCGATACACTGCCTCTTGTGCTGAAACTTCTCTGTTGTGTAGATATACACTTCCCAACATTTTTAATGATGATCTTGCTTCAAGATTTCCATTCATAGCTTCATTTTGTGCACGTCACAACAACAGTCCCATTTCTTGTTCTGCTTTTGTGATGTAACTAATAATATAAACCACTACAGAGTAAGCATCTGTTACATACTGGATATCCATGTTGCCTTGCCATGCACGCAATAAATGAGGGTTATATTGATTTACCCAAACATCTTTTGGACTTCGTTTCAAGACGACACTTTTCTTTTTAGAACATTTCTTGTACGCCTTCTCAAACACAGCTTGATTAATTCCAATGGATTGGAAAAAGGCATCTGTTGAATCAAAATTGACTTCAGATTCTGTTAACGCAGTTTTGATTTTCTTCAGAATTGCACTTGCAGTCTCATTTCCATCATTGCCTTTCAAGTCATCTCGTATAGCTCTTGTTATAAAGGTGCGGCTAGATGGAGGCCGTGGAAAATTAAATCTACACACTGTGTTTTTCTTCCGGCATGTCTTGGAATGTCTTCTGCTGTGCTTTTGAACACTGTTCACAGTCTCATAAAGTTCTGCGTCATCATCTCCTGGTGTCTCACAAGTGATATAATGATCTATGAAAGCAGCAACCAAAGCATCACTGTCTTCGTTGTCTTCATTTAACTTTGGAGCATTTTCAACCCAAAACAGACAATGAACATGAGGAGATCCACGCTGTTGAAACTCTACACGATAGAAGTAGTCTTTGATCTTTCCAATAGGTTGAGCAGGTGACATAATGACATCCTTCAAAAAACAATGCCATCTATAATCAAACATCCTTGCAGCAGTGACTGGGTTTCGTCGAATTAGTCCACATTTCTCAGACCAGTCAAGCTCATCAACACTGACATTTTTCTGTTCTTGCTCCAGGATGGTGTTGATCATTTCAGGCCATCTGAGATCAGCAGAGCTAAAGGATGCAAAGAAAGTTGGAATACCTAGTTGTCTTATGAGAGCAAAAAGGTCTTTTTGAGTCGATTGCCAATAGGGTGGCGTTCCACGGACTGGTCTCAAAAATTTGTATCCTTCATCATAATTCAATATTTTAGCTAACGACTCTGGGTTTGTCAGCATATCCGAGGTTACTCCTTGCAACAACCTCTTGTCCGACCCTTTTCGCAAAGCAATAGAAACATTAGATACAATTTGATCCAACTCCGACATGTATTGTGCATAGAAAATAAAGTCTGTACTCCGTGCAAAACGTCCATCTGCGTTGAGGATTCTTGCATTCAAGTATCGTGACAGTGTGATCTTTCTTTCTCTCTCATCATGGAATGTTGGACCACCAGTTGGAAAGAGAACAGGAAAACATTTTGCTTCATTGCTTTTATCAGACAATAATTTAACAGGACTGTTACCTTCAGCTGGTGCCACATTTAATACATCTTGAAAGTGCTGATCAATTACTTCTGAACCAAGATCGACAGGTTGTAAACATGTGTCTGACAAAAGACCACTCTGCTCTTTGATGTAAGTCAAGTCTTCCTCTGGCTGTTCTTCAGTATCATTTTCCTCTTCACTCTTTTCAACGTCAGCTTGTTCCTCCATTTCTTCAGCAACATTCTCTTCTGGTTCATTCAAAGAGTTGATCCATTGTTCATTAATCTCCACATCCTTGTACCATTTATTGCACCTGATCAAACGTCGCAGAGCATTTCTAACACGATCAGTGTAAACATGC